TAGCTAAGTGGGGTTTTTGAATGGGCCTTTGAAATCCAAATCAAATTCAGTCAGAATTATGTCAGCCTTGTCTGTTTATGACTGAGTCCACCAGTATTCTGAAGAAATAAGTTACATTTATTTTTACCATAGAGATTAGCTGCGAGAAGAATTCTGTTCAGTTCAGAAATTTGCAGCCTGAATTTTAGTGTCACTCTTGATAACAGTTAAAAGAGTCTGTTGTTTTGTGGCTCTTATTGCAAGGTAAAATAATAACACAGGTCAGTGATACTGATTTTTGTGAAGAACCTAACAATAGCATTTCATTCAATAAGGTGACATTTTATTTCTTTGTGTGTGAAAACTTTGTTATGACATAAAGAGACCGTGACTTCAGGAGTTAGTAGCAACCTAAGATCTTCATATCTTAGGGGTTAGGTTTAGTTGATTGCTCCCTTGCTTTGCCATCGCCCCAGGAAAGGTCTTTCCTTGTGCAAAAGCCTGCTGTCTCTTGTACCTGATTGCTCAATTATGAGTCCTAACATGAAGGGCTAAAACCCACCCCACATTTAATACTACTTAAATTAAAACCGGTATAGCTTGTTTAACATGTGTGGTATAACAAATCAACATGCTTGTATTTACCTTTCAAATGTGAGTTTTTAAAAAGCTACATTGAAAGTAATTTGTCTTATCCAAGCAGGCACAAGAACCTACTGAAATGGAACAAGAAAACTGATAATTGGCATCTGTCTATAAGAGTGTCTGACAACTTTTTAGCCAATGGATTGAATGGTTTCTCTAGCTTTTTGGCTGTCATTGCCTTTTGAACACTTCCATGCCACGTTGCTGCAGCAGTATAAAAGTCAGAATCCCTCCACATCTCATAGTTTTCTAAGTTCATGCTTTTCAATCCTCACTGGTTTTTACTTTAGGTAAAGGTAAAGGTTCCCCTTGACAATTTTTGTCCAGTCGTGTTCGACTCTAGGGGGCGATGCTCATCCCCATTTCCAAGCCATAGAGCCAGCGTTTGTCCGAAGACAATCTTCTGTGGTCACATGGCCAGGGCGACTTAGACATGGAACACTGTTACCTTCCCACCGAGGTGGTCCCTTATTAATCTACTTGCATCGATCTTACGACTGCTTGGTCTTCTGATCCTGCAGCACAGGCTTCTGCGGTTTAGCCAGCAGCGCCACCGTGTCCCTCGGTTTTTACTTTACTGTATTTAAATTACTGTTTCATTACCAGTCCCCTCAATAATATTTTTTTTGTCTGGTTACGCTTAGGGACTGTGTCCATTATTTTACTTGTTGTTAGCCCTCAGCCTGAAACAGAAGGCACTTCCTACCTTTAGAACCACTGTGGAATTCTAAAAGCAATGAAACTTAGAAGTTTTCTTTCTTTCACAGATACTGGGCTGCAAATTTTCTGATATCTTTTGCTGAATAATTAGAATGTTGCTGAGTGGTCCATGCCCTCACACCCAATTAGGCAGTAAGAGTAGAGGCTTTACAGTTGTGGGCACAATGTAATAAATGTTCAACATAAAAATAAAACTTAAATTAAAAATGTTTTTGTTCATAGCTTTGTGATGATTACAGTGTGATTGGCCGTTCACTGTTCAAGAAAGAGACCAACATCCAAATTTTTGTGGGGCTGAAGGTCAATCTGTCTACAGGAGAGGAAGGCATAATTGAAGGTGGTTTTGGACAGAGTGGAAAGTTTAAAATCCGCATTCAAGGTAAGTGTTTTTGCTGTTTGTATACATATTTCAAACTTGTGTCAGTTTGCACTATGCCTTTCAATCTGTACTACAGAAGTGTTGATATTAGCTGCCCTGAATTTACCTAATATCTTCATGTTGCCCATTACTGGGCCAAAGTTATCTGATATATTTATTAATTGTACTGTAGAGTTTCTGACATGAAAAGAGAAATACAATTAAGATAACATGTTCTGATATCAAAAATCCTAAAAACACTGTTTTAATGTGCATTCATAGATGCTCATCGCTCACATATAGATAGGTATTAAGAAAGAAAGTAAATGCAGGATATTATTTTTAGGGCTGAAATGAAAATGTTTACGGTTCCTGTGAGAGGCGCCCAGTTCTTGTGGTTTTTCAGGAGAGACACTGTGAATTGGCATTGGAAAGGTTTGCTGCATTCCAGCCATGATCTTCTCTTACTGATAGCATTCACAGTGAGAGGGAAAAGGTTACTTCAGATCCTTTTCTTCCACCCTTTAATGCAAATGCAGGTGCACTCTGGTGCACTTTCTCAAGAAGACCTGTCATGAACAGAATATATTAACTCTAGTTATATAATATAAGGTTTTCCTGACCTTTCCCAATAGTGATCTCTGTCTCAGACTAAATTTGATACTAAATACTAAGATGCTTGGGTGTCTTCAGTTATGGTGCCTTCAACTATTTTTCACCAGTGTCTACAGCGAGGAGAGTAAATAGTTTTAAGGTCAGAACAAGGAAAGAATAGAAGAGAGTCAGGAAATTCAGGATCAACCATAACATGCAGACTCTCCCTATTGTTAGGAAAACATGGAGGACCAAATTGATACTTACTGTGTGCCGTTTCCATAGTTGTAAACTTATGTCTTCAGTGCAGCAGAATACCACTTGTTTAGAAATAAGAGTCTTCATTAGGGATTTTCAGTACCATCTTGTAGACAGCTCCCAGGCCTCTTGCATGATCACTAAAAATAATTTAATTATGTGTCATCAAGTGAATTCTGACTTATGGCGACCCTTTTCAGGGTTTTCTAGGTAGGGAGTACCCAAAAGTGGTTTACCATTCCCTTTTTCTGGGGGCATCCTGGGATTGTACTGCTTGGACAAGGTCACACAGGATGGCTTTTTTCTTGAGAGGAACCTTGAACTCCCAACCTCTGGCCCTGCAGCCAGCTACCTAACTCACTGAGCTATCCAACCAGCTAATAATTGTGTACCATCAAGTCAGTTCTTACTGACTTATCCAGCCAACAAAACTAAAAATCCAAAAACCCTCAATTCTCATTTTAATGCAGAAGTCAGCAAACCTCCCCTGAGGAAATCTAATCATGTCTGTGTACATCCCTCTTAATTCTTAGACGTAATTTGCCCTCATCCAATGGACATGAGTCTTTAAAATATGCCCTTATGCTGATTTTTAGAAATAAAAATACATTAAGTAAAGAAAAAATCAAGAATTTTTTTTCTAATTCAGCCGTCTCTGAGAGAAGAGATATCCTCAACTTCATTGAGCTTATTTGTATTATTAGCTAATTTGATTCTGGCCATGGTGCTTGTAACAACTGGTTTTACTGCGTTTTTTTCTAAGTATTTACTGCTGAAGTATGAGGACTATATTAAGAAATAGGCAAACATTTAATATTCTGCTTAAAAAACACTAAAATATATATTTTTCAGCTCAGTAATAGTTTCATAGGGATATGGTCTGCTTATTTAAAATTAAACAAATAAAAAGAGAACCTCAACTTGAATCTATATACTTTGGGCTTGACTGGTTTGGACAGAAGCTGGAAATTAACTTCTGGGTTCATGAATTGTTTATTTAGTAATGCAAGTTAGGTGGGCAAACAAAGAAAGGGAATTCCAAGATTCTGAAATTAAGCTTTAGTTTCTGTTTGAGCTAAACATATTAACTCTGGATCCATTCAAACATGTTCCTGCCTGAATGCACCACATTTCATACAGCCAAGAATGAACATCCACCTTGCATAGTCCTCTTGTCCTACCATGTCCCCTTCTGCACTACCTTTAGAGCTTTGATTCTGAATTATTTAAACCAACTTTTCCCATTTTGTGGTTTAATAATAGTTTATTAAACTGGAATCAAACTGGAGTTTCAGATATGGATTATGAGGAATTCAACCACGGTGTATAGTTGTAGTAAAAATAGTTATGTGCTGCCTTTCCAGTCAGAGCCTTCCAATACAGTTCACAGAATGCAGCCTTAAAACCACAAACTCAAATGTAGTAATTGTAGTAATTAGGGACATGGTGGCGCTGCAGGCTAAACCGCAGAAGCCTGTGCTGCAGGGTCAGAAGACCAAGCAGTCGTAAGATCGAATCCACGCGATGGAGTGAGCTCCCGTTGCTTGTCCCAGCTCCCGCCAACCTAGCGGTTCGAAAGCATGCAAATGCAAGTAGATAAATAGGGACCACTTCGGTGGGAAGGTAACAGTGTTCCGTGTCTAAGTCGCACTGGCCATGTGACCGCGGAAGATTCTCTTCGGACAAACGCTGGCTCTATGGCTTGGAAACGGGGATGAGCACCGCCCCCTAGAGTCGAACACGACTGGACAAAAATTGTCAAGGGGAACCTTTACCTTTACCTTTAATTGTAGTAATTAAAACAATATTTAAAATAATCACATCCAGATTACAGTAAAACATTCTGATATTCTGTTGCACAGTTGTGCACATAGTGTAAGTTTTAGAAGCAAATAGGTATAAATCAGAAAGTTTCCTTGGGTATTACTGTTGTACATGGAATAATGTAAGTCAGTATGCAGCTGATAATGTCTACAGAATTTTCTTAACTTCCAAAATATATACCATTTGCATAATTATGCAACAGGATTTTGTCCACTACAATTTTTTTTAATAAATGAAAAATAGCCATTTACATCTTCAAGGAATTTACTTCTGGAACAATTATGTCTTCAAGGAGTCAAATCTCTTAATGTGTGAATGAGAACAGAATCAAAATGACATGCTATATGTGAGACATGTTTCATTATTCTAGAAATGGAAAAGGGAAAAGAGAATGTGAAAGCATATGAAATATTTTGCAACAAGAATCACCACGATATTTTGAAATGCATATATCAGCAATATCTAGAAATAGATACTGATGATGACAGCGTAGGTATTAATTTTCCATTGCTGAGGGATACTTTGAATGTGATCAAACACTGTAAAAAGCTTTAGTGTTTGTTTTACAACTTCCTTAAGCTTATGAAATCAAAATGTTGATGAATATTTCTATGCACCATTAAACTATATATTATCAGAACTTTATATTATTAGGGCAAAGGTAAAGGACAATTTGTCCAGTCGTGTCCGACTCTAGGGGGCGGTGCTCATCCCCATTTCCAAGCCATAGAGCCAGCGTTTGTCCATAGACAGTTTCTGTGGTCATGTGGCCAGCACGACTAGACATGGAACGCCATTACCTTTCCACTGTGGTGGTACGCCTGAGTGGAGAGAGTGTGGTCTGATGGTGAATGACCTTGTGTCAGTCCCCTTGTCATGGTCGGATCATCACCTAATTAAATGTAACCTCTCAGTGGCTTTCCCTCCCTGTAGGGAGCAAGTACCTATTTTAATGGTCCGCCCTCGAAGGCTACTGGATGCTATAGGATTCCATGATTCCATGAGAGGGATTCCGGCTGACCTGACTGGCATTCCTGTTGAGGCTCTGGTGGATGACTGGCTTGCCTCCGCTACCAGGGCTGTTCACACAATCGCTCCTAAATGCCCTCTCCATTGCTGAGATCGTCCACGCCCTGGTTTAACCAGCAACTGCGAGCTATGAAGCAAAACAGGAGAAGGCTAGAGTGCAATTGGAGACAGAACCCGACGGAATATAGTCAGAAAGCTGTCAGGATCACAACTAACCATTACCTTACTAAGGTGAGGGCTGCTAGTCGAGCTCACTTCCACGTCCGGATAAGTGATAGGTCTAAGTGACAGGCCTCCTACTAGTATCTCACCTGACCAATTTACGGCATTTTTAAAATCTAAAGTTGAGGCCATCTGCCGGGAGCTCTCTCCTTTTTTGAACACAGTAGATCAAGCAGAGATGTCCAGCACTCTGCCTTGCCCAATGAGACTTGATCTCTTTCAGCCTGTGACACCAGATATGGTGGACAAGGTGCTTGACCGCTGTCGTGCCACCACCTCCTCCCTCGACCCTTTGTCCGGCCTGGCTAATCAAACCAGCCAAGCCTACAACAACCGAATGGGCCACTGCAATAATTAATGAGTCTCTTCAGGAGGGCAAGATTCCCCCTGCCCTCAAGGAGACATTCATCAGGCCCATTAGGAAGAAACCAAATGATGCTGGCAATTATAGGCCGTTGCCAATATTTCTTTCCTTAGTAAAGTGGTAGAGAGAGTGGTGGCTGCCCAGCTTCAGGCCCTTCTGGATGAAACCAACGCCTTGGATCTGTTTCAGTCTGGCTTCAGGCTGCACCATGCTATGGAAACGGCTTTGGTTGCCCTGTTTGATGACCTCCTGAGGGAGGCCGACAGGGGCAAAATGTCTCTGTAGATCCTTCTCGATAACTTAGCCACCTTTGATACTGTCAACCTATTCTCCTGGGGAGGCTCTCCGAGCTGGGAATCGGTGGTCCGGAATTAGCCTGGCTCGATCCTTCTTGGAGGACCATCCCCAGAGAGTACAGCTTGGGGACAATGTATCGGCTCTGTGGAATCTCAATTGTGGGGTACCGCAGGTCTTGATTATCTCTCCAATGCTGTTTAATATCTACATGAGGCTGCTGGGTCAGGTCATCAGGGGGTGTGGGGCTTCATGTCATCAGTATGCTTATGACACCCAGCTCTACATCTCCTTTTTTCCTATAACAGTGGATGTCGTTCTGTCCCTTCAGCGCTGTCTGTATGCCGTACTGGGATGGAAGCAAGCGAATGGTCTGAGGTTGAACTCGGACAAGACAGAGGTCCTGAGGGGGGTGGCCCAGACATTGGTAGTTTGG